AGATAACCTACATTTTGTATGTCCAGTATTTCCTATCAATTTCTCAGTACCTGTCTTGAAAATGGCATTGTTACTTTTTTTTCTTTCTTTCTTTCTTTTTTTTTTTTTTTGAGATGGAGTCTTGCTTTGTCGCCAATGCTGGGGAGCAGTGGTGCAATCTAGGTTCACTACAACCTCCGCCTCCCAGTTCAAGTGATTCTTCTACCTCAGCCTCCCGAGTGTAGCTGGCAATAGGTGCCTGCCATCATGCCTGGTTAATTTTTGTGTTTTTAGCAGGGACAGGGTTTCACCAAGTTGGCCAGTCTGGTCTTGAACTGCTGACCTCCCGTGATCTGCCTGCCTGGGCCTCCCAAAGTGCTGGGATTACAGGCATGAGCTACTGTACCTGGCTCTACTTACTTCTGCTGTCTGCAAGAGTGAGAAAAACAAATCACTCATTTGTTTCTAATAGTTTCTACAGTGACTAAGGTAGCCCTGATGCTAGAATGTCCTTCACATTCTGTACAGTGTTCAAGAGCATATACTGTATACTCTGTTCTATTTTGAGTGAGAATGTATATGCCCTGCCTTAGGTGAAATGCAGTTCTGTAATATGTAAAACGTGTTGTATAATAAATAAGTAATTTGGAGAATGTTGCATATACTAGAGTACAGTAGAATCATATGGTATTAATTCTTATTCAAATTTTTCTTATTATATTTGCTATGAGAAAAAGGGAGAAATCCATGTAAATTAAGCAAGCCATGCTGCCATTTAACTCAGTGAGCATATTGTATGGTCATGAGATGGGAATATTCATGTAGGCTTTTTATTCAATAATCAATTTCCTCTGTAGAAGACACATTTCCAAACTAAGTATAAACCTGAAAATGAAAACATACTGTAGGTTTTCTTGGCAAAACACAGCCAATGTACTTCTGCTATTTGGCAAAATAAATAGCCTTCCATTTCTTATTCTGTGTTGGTTTACTAGTACTGTTGGGCAGGAGGGAAATGGCGTTTGGAAATGAAGTTCTGACTCTGATATGACCTCAGTGCATTCTCTTCTTGGTATTTCAAAATGTGCATTCAAGTATTAAAGACTGAAAAATTCTGCATTGTGGAGATCTAGGAAAGGAAATATCTTAGCTGACATGGAGCTGATTTGTATTTCATCTGACTTTCTCAGGAATCTTATTTCATTGATTATTTGTGCTTTCTCAGTCTTAAGTTTCTTAGTTCTTACCACTTTTAATGTGCCGCATATTGTAAGGCAAACAAGCATGAAGCGCACACACGCATAAAAGTGCACGTGCGAGTTAATGAAATATCACACTCCAGCTGCTTTTACGTCTCGTTTAAAAATAAGTCTCTTTATTCACTCACATTACATCATTTCCCATTCATTTCTTTGTACACCAAGAACTGAAATTTAACCCAGCACTCCCAATAAACCTTTCCATGGCAAGGTTTCAAAAGTCGCTAAATAAAATAGAACATTTTTAATCCTTACCTTGCATATATTTTAAGAATAATTTAACACTGTTAACTTCCCCCTTATTTTAGAACACACACTTAGCTTAGGTTTTATGTTTCCATGGTCTACGTATTTTAAAACTCCATCTCTCAATTAACCGCAGATTCGTCTTGCTATATCTGATCCCTAAGTTTTCACAGTTGTTTGTTCTGTTTTTCCCAAATTTTTATCATTCAACACACTTTCCCTCAGTAAACTCAGGCACTCCAATGGTTTCAAGTTAAATTTCTAACTCTGTCCTTTTTTTCCTACTTTAGAACTATCTTTAAAACAATCAAACATACAGTTATATATATTTACACATAAGACATTCCAACTTTTATCATTACAGCAGCAGTAGGGCTGGTTGGGAATGCTATTGGGCGTTACGCTGCCTATGGCAGGGGGTGGGTTGGAGCCGCTATTGTGGTTACACTGCCGGCGGCGTGGGGGTGGGGGGACTGATGGGGTGCTGACTGGTCTGGCTTCATTGCCCACAGTGGGGTGAGGGTACTATCCGGGGCTGCACTGCCCACCGCAGGGGACAGATTAGGGGCAGTATCTGGTGCTACATTGCCTGGGGGGGTGGGAAAGGGGGTGTGTGCAGGGAGGTTCTTGGAGGGGGTGGTTTCGGGTGCTATGGGGTGCCAGACTGTCCATGATAGAGGGCGAGTTGGTGCGCCATTGGGGGTTACACTGCCCGCGCAAGGGGCAGTTTGGGGGCGATACCGCCCGCCAGTGGCAGGCGGGGTGGTGGGGTGGGTTGTGGGCACGGTTTGGGGCTGCAATGCGGTCAGTAGGGGGCGACTTACGGGCTCTGTCAGCTGCTGCACTGTTTGTGGTGGGGGCCCGGTTTGGTGCGCTGTGGGGACCATATCTCAGCAGCAGCATACGGGTTAGGGGTGCCATGGGGGGGCTACACTGCCCACCGCGGGGGGCAGGTGGGGTACGCTATTCAGGGCATCATTCCCTGTGGCTGGGGGATAGTTGGGGGTGCTATCCGCTATGTGGGGCTGCACAGCCCGTTGTGGGGAGCGAGTTGGGGGCCTTAAGGATCTGTGACTGCACTATTCACCGCGGGGAGCAGGTTGCAGCGCTTTCTGGGACGTCACTGCCCAGCGCGGGGGGGATGGGTTGGGGTCCCATCAGTGACTGCTCGGCCCACTGTAGGGGGCAGTTTGGGGGAGTTATCTGGTGCTGCAACGTCCGACGCGGGTACGGGTTGGGGGGCTACTGGGTTCTACACTGCAGCTGCGAAGGGAGGGTGTTAGGGGCGCTGTCCTGGGACCAACAGCAGGCGGCTGGTTAGGGGCACTATCGGGGGGTGCCCTGCCGGTGGCGGCAGAGGTTGCAGCAACAGCGGTGGTCTCCAAGGAAGGAGTCTTCCTCCTCTCCCTGGACCTCCAGACTCTAGAGGGCGACCTGACCACCTCCTGCTCCTGTTCCTCGAGCGCAGCGAGTGCACAGCGTTTCGGCAGGAATCCTGAGCACGGCAAGGCCCTCATACCCGCGTTGGATTCCCCGGCCCGCGCTCTCTCGCTCTGTGTTGCGGAGACCGCCTGGGACCCCCAGGCATGCAGGACACGGATTAGCAGACACCACGGTGTGCACGGCTCTGTGGTGTGGGTGGAGGCATCAGGATCCGGAACCGGCACTTGGGTGGGAGGGCTGACTGGGTCTGAGTTTCTGCCCAGGTGCCGCCGCCATCTGAATATGTTTCAAAGACAATGCTGGCCTGGCAACCGATGATGCCCCACGCCCACCCCGACCCTCACTTCTACCCAAGTAGAGGCAACCCCAGATACAGATGCCTGGGTGGCAGCGGCTAAGTCTGGCAGTTGGCCAGGCGGCCAAAGGACGGGAACTGGCCGCCCACCCCATCCTAGTTTCCACGGAGAAACTGAGCCATCATGGCCTCTGCGCTGTTGGCTCAGGCTAAAGAGGAACAGATCCTCAGTTGGGCAGGCGGTGCACTTGGCGACCCTGAGGTCAAGTGCCAGCCCCGCCAATCCCCGTAGGTGCCCAAGCTGCAGCTGCCACCTGCATGTGGGCAGCAACTGCCTGGCCACCCCAGCCCACGACCTCAGCATGCGGATCCTGGGGCCAGATGCCTCAGTGGTAAAGCCAGATGGCCCACTCTGCAACCAATCAGTCAGCCCTGTCTGCACCCAGGCAGAGTGCTCAGCATCTGGGTCAGGCTTCAGACCATGTGGAAAAGGAGCAGGACCCTCAGGCCTGCTGGGCTGTGCTCTGTGTCCCCAACCTTGATGCCATCCAGGGGAGTTCCGCTTTCCCGCGCCAGTGCCTCAGCGGTTGCAGAAAACTGCAGAACTGCAAGTTGCACACAAGCAGAGATGACGGAGCAACCCCTGACCTTCCGCACCACCCACCCTACCCGCACACCTGCCACGCGGACCCTGGGCCCGTGCCTGGGCGCCCAAGTCAGGCAGTCCGCACAGCAGCGGCACCAGGGTGGGAACCTGTTTGTTAATACCATCCCAGTTACCACGAAGAGCCCGCCCCGGCAGCCCCTGCGTTTTTGGAGGAGGCCAAGTCAGAGCACACCGGCGATGAACATGACCCTGAGGACGTTAGTTACCAGGCCTGCCAGCCCCCTCTGGCGTCCGAGCCGCAGCAGCAGCCTAGACGTGGTGCACGGGCAGCAAGTGACTGGACACTCCAGACCACGCCCGCCCCCCAGTAGCGTGAATCCTGAGGCCAGACACCCAGGCGGCAAAGTCAGGCCATCGGCCCCGCCAGCGGTCGCTGTTTCATGGGTGTGGATACAGAGTGCCCAGTGCCAGGGCCCAGGATCCCGAGAGATGTCCAAGAGGAGCTCATCTCGAGGCCAGGTAGGCTGTGCATTTGGCGACCCTGACGCCATCTAGTGGAAGCTCCGCCATCTCGTGCCAGTGCCAGATCTGCAGCTGAAACCATTCGTGGGGCACTGGCAGCGGTGACGGCGGGTGGGGGAAGGAGCAGCTCCTGACTCTCCATGGCTTTCCCGCTACCCGACACTAGCCACACAGACTCCAGGGCCAGAGCCTCAAGGTGAAGCCAGGCCATCCGCGAAGCCACTCAGGTGGCCGGGAGTACTCTTGCCAGCACCCTATCTCCCTTCGGAGGAGAAGCGGTGCGGGCTGCAAGGCCAGACAGTTCCTCCTTCTCAGGCCGGGCTGGCTGCACGCGTGCTATCCTGGGGCCGCCCAGGCCAGCCCAGGGGAATCCTCGAGCCTGGTGGCGCCCGCCGAGAGCTGCAGCCCCACCTGCTCGCGCGGGCCACCTGTGAGTGACTTCCGGGAGCCAGCGGCCACCGCGGTGCAGGCGCGCGCCCAACGGCTTTGCGAGGCTCACTCGGTCTGAGAGGTCGGAGGCTGCGAGTGTCCCTGCTGAAGGCTGTGGTGGACCGGGCTGGATCGCGGATTTTGGAGTATATCATAGATTTGTGATCGCGGACTGGGGGTTGGATCGCGGATTTGGAGTTGGATCGGGACTTGGGGTTGGATTTGGGGCTGGGTCGGCGGGGGCAGGGGCTCCTGGTGAAAAGGTGACAGGAAGCTGCCCCCGCTCGAGAGCCGGTGGTTGGGGGTCTGAGAAGTCACCACCATGAGGTTGTTCAGCTTCGGGAGCCGCAGGCGCCAGATGGTCCTGGGCTCCATAGACCACGACTACACGGGTTGAGGGTACCGAATCTGGGAGGCCAAACTGCAGAAGATCCACAGGGCGGCTGTCAAGGGTGACGCGGCGGAGGTGGAGCGCTGCCCCGCCCGCAGGAGCGGAGACCTGGACGCCCTGGACAAGCAGCACAGGTAGTAGGGGCTCAGCCCCGGGTTGGAGGGGGGCCCCAGGCCCGGCTTCCCCGCAGCCCCTGGGACTGGGCGTTGGAGGGCGCCGGGCACCATCCCAGTGGCGGAGCCAAACAGGCCCTCAGCTGTTTTCCATCCCTCATAATTCCCTGGCTGGAGTAGGTGGAGAATTTGAGTGATTTAACTCACAAAGTTAAGCATATATGGTGTTATTTTTAACGAACTCCTTTAAAACATGGTTTATGTACATTATAGGAGGTGCCTAATGAGAAAACTCATTCCCCTATCAAAAATACCGTGAGTTATTTTCAGTAGGTGAAAAGTTCTCAGATAAAACTGTCCGTTTTACATCCGTATCCACCTGTGTAGGTAGGTTCTTTACTGAAGTTTCTTAGAGAGAAACTTGGAAGTGGGAGGTGGGTTCTGTGTTCTTGAATGGGAAGGCACATTTTTCTCAAAATGTGAGCCCTTTCTGTGTTTATCAATTTTACATAGACCCAATGAAAATATCAAGGTTTTAATATTTTTGTATGACACCTGCTGTCTTTCACTATTGTGAGGACATTTTAAAAAAATCTCATAATAGAGTGAAAAAACACTTCTCTAGATAGCAAAATGTGCTATTAATTTCTACAATTAATTGTTTGCTAACAGCTGAAAAGACAGATGCATGGAACAGAATAGGAAACCCAGAATCATTGAAATTATGTAAGACATACGTAAGGATTGATGAGTAGGAAAGGATGAATTATTAATGAAAAAATGCCTGCTGTTTGAAGAAAACTAATGAAATTTTATGTCACAAGCATGAGTTCTGATGGAATGCAGATTGAATTTTTTACATATGCAAATTAGTAAAGTACGAGAAAACACAAATGCTTATTTTACAGGAACATTTTATGTTGACAAAGGCCTTCCTGAGAATGACCTCTTAAGCAGACATTCTGAAGATTGATTTAGGAAACTAAAAATTAAAACTGCCTGTGTGTTGGAAGACAAATTAACGAAATGAAAGAGAGCTTATGTGAAAAATATTGACTTTATTATATATATATATTCAGATGAAAAGTATATTTCCATTTTATAGGGAATTCATTATATTCCTTTTTATTTTTTTTGAGTCAGAGTCTCGCTTCTTTGCCCAGGCTGGTGTCCAATGACACAGTCTTGGTTCACTGCAATGTCTGTCTCCCGGGTTCAAGCAATTCTCCTTCCTCAGCCTCCCAAGTAGCTGGGATTACAGGCAGGTGCCAGTATGCCTGGCTAATTTTTGCATTTTCAGTAGAGAGGGCGTTTCACCATGTTGACCAGGCTGGTCTCGAACGCCTGACCTCAAGTGATCTGCCCACCTTGGCCTCCCAACGTGCTGCGATTACAGGCATGAGCCACCGTGCATGGCCTATATTATTATATATTATATGATATATATTACTGATATTTATATCATATGTGTTATAGATGCTATATATGTAAGTTATATATACACATTAGATGAAAAGTTATATATATATAGATGAAAAGTACATTTTCATTTTACAGGGAATTATTTCAAATCAAATCATTAAAAACTCTAAAATTGGGCAAAGTACGTTTCTCCAGATCTACAAGTTACTTATGCACATAGGAAAAAGTCTTTTGCATTTCTGGTATAAGAATTTAAATAAAAGAGGAATAAAACAGTTTTTTACCCACAATATTTGTGAGGCTGTTTTATACTCCTGCTTAAAGTTTAAGTTGCTGATTACTTTTCAAATAGATAATTTGGTGGTAAGTACATTTAAAAAATGTGTATGCCTTTTACCCATCAATTCCATTACACTAAAATACCCTTAGGAAATAAAGATACATGCACTTTATTTTTCACAGCACTTACTTTAAAAAGAACCCATAGAATGGATCCTATAAATAAATTTCAGTTGCATCCATTGGATGAAATATGTGACCATTGAAGGTGGCAATAGATACAGAAGTACGTTGATGTGTGAAGGTGTATATTTTTATGGCTAGTGAGGAAAAAAATCAGTTAAATTATACATCTGCACAAACATACTATGGTCTTGTTTTAGCAAAAAATATGTACAAAATAAAAATTTGTAATTTCTGAGCATTTGTATTTTAAGTTAAGATTTTTTCCTTTTTCTTATCTGTGAGTGCTGCAGTGAGCATGTACAAAACTTGTAGTAAATGTTTATTATTAATGGAATAATCCTTGGGAAGAGAGGAATATGAATCTTGCACTGATAAAAATAATTTCTCACTTTCTATTTTTTATCGTTATTGTGTGTATTGTTCTTTGAACTTTTAGCCTTTTCAGAAGTAAAATGGGAATGTTTTTATCTGTTTCCAGATTTTATCTATATGTTTTATTATGTATGTTTTTCTTATACATTCATTCCATTTATGCAAACAATGATAGATTAATCATTTCATTTTAATTGTATTCTTTAAAAATAAAAATACATATAATTACTGTTGCAAAATTATTGCTTTGTAGGAGTTTATTTAAAAATACTGAACTCCCCAACTGTATTTATCCATTCTTTCATTTGATTTATTCGTGAAACATAACCTGAGTACCTATTATGTAGCAGACATATTCTACTATCTTTCAGGACCCTTCTATCCTTAAAAACTTCATGTTTACCTGCGCTGCCTGCGCAAGCTGAGAGATTTAAAATAGGAATATTGGGACTGAATCTCCTTGAAACTTTATCTCCCACCTTTCAAACAAAAGCATTTCTGAAGTTAGAAAATAGTAGAAGATAACCTTTAACTGCCCTTTCAAAGGTTTGTCAGTCTTAAATACTAATATTAATCATCGAAAAGTCTTATTTGCATATATTCTGTAAGTATTGAATAAAATGAGCCATACGTGTATTCATTTGAATCATGAGTTTCCTTTGGCTTCAAGTTGTTTGAAAATCAAATAATTTGTTTAAAAAAATGCATGATTATTTCAGTGCTCTTTTCCCATAGTCCCTTTAAGAACTAAAATGTATTTAAGTTTCAGTTACATGCCTGGAACTGCCCTAGACCTGAGTTACCATATTCTACTTAATGTGCGCTCATGGATTGTGTGATGCCCCATTATGTTATGTATCAATAAGATAATTTTTAAAATGCTACCAATTATATTTATAATAAATTATGGATTATAAGTGGCATTCCAATGTCAGAGGTGTTAAAATGTGACCTACTCTTTAAACCATCCTGCAAAGTAGGTATAATTGTATCATTTTACCTAATTAAAATGTTTTTGTTAAGTAGTAGAAATAGTAATAATATCTGGCTGGGTGCAGTGGCTCACGCCTGTAATCCCAGGACTTTGGGAGGCTGAGGTGAGAGGATTGTTTGATGCCAGGAGTTTGAGACCAACCTGGGCAACAAAGTGAGATTCTTACTCTACAAAATTTTTTAAATAGCTGGGCATGCTGGTGCACATCTGTAGTCCCAGCTACTCAGGAGGCTGGGGATGGAGGATCACTTGAGCCCAGGCGTTCCAGGTTATGGTAAGGTATAGTTACATCATTGCACTCCAGCCTGGGTAAAAGAGTGAGACTTTGTCTCAATAAACAAAAATGTTTCAATTATTAAGCTATTGTAGGAACTATTCTAAATACTTTACATAGATTCTCATTTAGGCTTCAAGATGGTGTCCTATGAGATGGCTACTATTATCATCTTTATGAATGAGGAAGTTGAGGCACAGAAAGGCTAAGCAATAGTTGGTAAGTGACAGGGTTTAAAGTAGGACTCAAGCCCTAGTCGAACTGAATCCAAAGCCTGAGCTCTTTCTACTCAAATAGGCTGCTGTTTTCATTAAGGCAGTGAGCAATAAGAGCTAGTAAGTATTGTACTTTCTTAAAAAAATATCATTTGTTTTGAAAGCAGAGGAAAAACATGCTATTCAATTTTTACAATGACATGAATGATGGTAGATTTTGAGATGATGCACTACAGTTTCCTAAAAAGTCCTCTTACTCTTGTAGAACTGCTCTACATTTGGCCTGTGCCAGTGGCCATGTGAAAGTGGTCACTCTCCTGGTTAACAGAAAATGCCAGACTGATATCTGTGACAAAGAAAACAGAATGCCTTTGATACAGGTATATTAGAGCCAACTCTTTCAGCATGACATGGATTTGATTTACACATGTAGAATTAAAATAAATTGATCTCATTTAAATATAACTAGTTGGTGAAACCTGTGAAATGTGTATTTTGATTTCTTAGAATTTACAATCTATTTCTTGGTCTAATATGAACAGGCAGTCCATTGCCAGGAAGAGGCTTGTGCTGTTATTCTGCTGGAACATGGTGCCAATCCAGACCTTAAGGATATCTAAGGCAACACTGCTCTCCATTATGCTGTGTACAGTGAGAGCACCTCACTGGCAGAAAAACTGCTTTCACATGGTGCAAATATTGAAGCACTGGACAAGGTATAGTTCAATCTACTTTCTTTCCAAAATATTTGTTTTAACATTGACATAGGTAAGGGTCAATTTTTTATATTTGGAAGCTCAACCGTTCCCTGAAAGCAAATGCAAATTAAGTTATTTTGAAATAATTAATTGTCTAAGATTTTATTTTAAATATTGAGCTTTTTAAAGAATCATTAAAGGGCACAGCTTTATAAAATGCACTTTGGAAAATATTTGTGAATTTGTTAAAGGTAAAACCTTTTCACTGTTTCCTACACAGGGTTATTCTTTTCCTTCTTTTTTTTTCCTAATTAGTATAAAACAACACAGGAAAGAAAATATGCCCTGGAGATAGGCTTTGTCTTAAAACTCAAACAAAACTAAAGCAACTTACAGTAAATGGACGTGTTGCTGCTGCTGATAATTTTCTGAAAAACTGATGTATTATTTCTCAGTGGCACAAGGCTTAACAGGGAAACATAGGAAGGGAAAAGGAGAGCAATCAGAAATATGCAGGTCACTTGGAAGTTAGGTAATGAGGGAAAATGACAGGAAGAGTTTTTTTTTTTTTTTTTTTTTAAGTTCTTCTAGTTTATGTGTTGAGACAAGGTGCTCTTTAGTTTTGGGTCTAATAATTTTTGGCTTGAAAATGAGAGTGAGTTGAAACTTACCTGGAGATTAATTTTAGGAGTCTGAGGAAACCAGATTGGCAGTGAATATGTGTTGACAAAGTGAGAAAAACTTCAGCAGAAGGTGGAACAAATTATTAACTGACTTATTGCCCATCCTGGCAGAAACAGCCACTTAGATAAGAGTCGAAAGACTCTTCTCAAATCTAGCACATCTTGGTGGGAAGATGGGAGATAAGGAGCTTATAAATAGCAAAATCAAGTAGGAATTTGAGTTTACTTGTCCCTGTTCTACCCATTCCCAGGAAACTTAACTGGAGCTTGAATAAATGACTCTATCTCTTACTCTTTTCTCTTTTTGGCCACATGTCCAACTGATAAAGGGAATTAGTCATGCAAGTGAGAGATGAGACTGAAGTGATTGCTGCACTAATTCTCAGAATTGCGCATTACAGTGACCTGAGGACATGTTGTTAAAAATCTACAGTTGTAGGCTTTCCCCTGAGGATTTTGATGTAATAGACCTAATAAGGCCTGAACATGTTTAAAAATGTTTACTTGAAGCTGGGCACAGTGGTATGTTCCTGTAGTCCCTGCTTGAGCCTAAGAGTTTGAGTCCAGCTTGAGCAACATAGTGAGACTCTTTCTCTAACAGCAACAGCCAAAAAACAAACAAACAAACAAACAAACAAACCAAAAAACCATCAAGGGTTTGTATACACACTTGATTAAGAACCCCAGAATAGATAGGTGCAATATATAAATTTCTGTATCTCAAAAATGTAGGAAATCTCTAGAAGAGTTTGTGTTTGATAGGTGCTACTTCCTTCAAAGTTTTCCTTTTCAATCTGCTTTTCAAGATTTATCTGTCTTTCTCTACATCTGTGACTGGGATGTGAAAGGGAAATATTATTGGCAATATCTCTCAGCTTACAGAATAACACTTTTTCCTTCCCACCATTAATCATTCACTACCATTCAGAGAGTCTTTAGAAATTTGCTTATGGGTAATCTTTCAATAGGTAGGGGCTGACCCTTTCAGGATTTGATGTCCCTTTGTCACCATGCAGGTGATTATGTGTCAACAAATGTTCATTACAAGTTGGGCTTTCTCAGTTAGAATAGTAGCAAATCCTAAACTATTTCTTTTTGGTTGAAGTTGTATTATGAACTATCTCAGTATGTTTGTTAAGTTTATAGAGCTTTAGCATAACCAAAATGTCAGTTTTAAACACTGAAATCCATGAAGTTAATAAGAATACAGATAGGAATTCCTACAATAATTTAGTTTTAGCAGTCCTGTGAACCAATGATCTATTTGGCTAACAATCTGGGAAAATTATATACCAATATATTTTAAATGAATAAATGTTGGAAAAATTCTTGAAGCAAGTATTATGAGTCTTTTAAACCATTTTTATTATATATGAGAGCCTGAATTTTTGGTAAAACATATGACACTAGAGAAAGAAAATATTTTACGTGCAAATACTTGGATTATACACAACCATTTAGTAATACATTTATAGCAAATATAAAAACACTAGGGCTATATTCTAATGTGGTACATAGATTTGTTTATTTGCCTCTATAAGTTGAATCAACATGTACAATTTAGAAGACTTGTGTAGAAATCTGGACTTCAGGCTTATCCTAAAAAGTCAAATCTGGTGTCTCCTGAGTTTCTATCACTGTTTGGTCTGCTGTGCAGAGATTGCCCCTTTATAGAAGGCATGTATTCTCCAGTTTGCTATTGTGCCCACCTCAGTACTTCCCTTACTCAGGTGACCTTCCTTCGTCATTGTAAGTATTTGACTTTACAACTCTTATGTTGTAGTATATTTTGATAAATACTTCAAGGTTTTTAAGTCAGCATGTGCTTGTTTATAATATGTAGTCTATAGAGTATATAAATCCCTCAGTTATGGAGTTGAATTTTAGAATTTAGAAGTTTTTAAAACTCCTTTTCTTTATATATACCAGAAATAATTATCTTCCCATAAGAATGCCTAGAAGCCTTATTAGGTTATTCCTGGTTATAGTTGGATAATTTATGAATATTGCAGACATTACATCTTTCTCCTCAGCACTCTTCCTTAAAAATGCAAGTGACTTACTGGCTTTCATTATGCTAGAAATAATCCGTATGGATCAGTAAGAGAACTTTTATTGACAAGCACTTATGTTTTATTTCTGATTTATGTTTTCCCTAAAATAAAAAATAATTTTAAATAGCCATTTAAGTGGAAGCCAATAAAAATGGATTTAAAAAGTAGAACTGCATTAGGGTGCCGGGATTACCATTGTAATTGAGAATAGTATTTCTTACTGAGCTTTGGTCTTTTAAGTATTTGTTTTTAAGTTTTTTAAACCTATCTCTCTTACACAGAACATACTGAGCTTTCTAACAGTAAAGATAAAAATCTATTCTCTTGTATTAGGAAAAAAATCTACGGACTATTTAATAATAAGGAAAATAAGTGCATTTGAAGCCAGTCTCTCTTAATTCAGAGCTCATTTTGATAGGGACCATTTGGAGCAGGAGTGCCTGACATTGGCATCTGGGATCCTGACACCACTGATAGAAGTGAATCAAGCAAGTTTGTACCACCCAGAGGAAACTTCCACCTGTAATGGGGAGCTCTGGCAACTGTTTCTCTGAAACTCTTAATTTCTCAAATGTTAATGTTTGCCACAAATAGTATTATCAAATGGGGATTAGGTAAAATTCAAGAGATTTCTTGATTATGGGACATAAAATACAGTTTTGTAATATTTCTCAAATGCAGATGGTCATGGAGTCTTTCTCTTGGGGTATACTTCTGGTAAAGCAAATATTCTTTGGAATATAGTTTAAGAAACACTGCTTTAGAGAGAATAATTTAGATCATTAATTTATGTAAAAAACCCAAAATATTTGCTACTATGTCTTAGGGTTTTGGGGCTATAGAGACAAAAGATACAGCCTTTGCCCTCAAGAAGCTCTTGGTTTCAGTGGGAAACAATGAAATGATTACAATGTACCATGCTAAGTGCTGTGATCAAAGCAAGGATTCTTGGGACTGGTAAATATTTACAGTGAATTTTGGCAATGACCACAGTTAATCCGGGGAGACAGAGGAGGGTTGTTTGCAAGGCAATGAGCAGCACATCAGAAAGTGCAGAGGAGTGAGAAGGAAGGGCCTGCTTTTCATTTACTTGCTTTCTATACTGCATGTTGAAGTTCAAAGCACCTTAGATAAGATTTTCAATTCAGTTGAGAAATACGTAATTTTGTGAATTATTAATTTTTTCTGCTGTCTTATAGGACAATAATACCCCACTTTTATTTGTTGTAATTTGCAAGAAAGAGAAAATGGTAGATTTTTTATTGAAAAACAAAGCAAATGTACATGCCGTTGATAAGCTGAGATGGTACAGTAGTTCTTTTTTTTTTTTTTTTAATAAAAACCTGTATATTCTAGAGTGGTAATAGTCAAGTCAGAAATATTAATAAGATTAATGTAATTATTGTCATATAGTGAAAAATACCACCATGAAGAATCAGGTAGACCAGCAAATATCTGAACTGAGTAACATAAAGAACGGTATGTAGTAGAATTCATCTTTTCTTATAATATAGAGTGTTTGTTATTTATAATCTGATTTCTTGCTAGTGTAATCTTTTATTAGCTAAAGGGTTTTGTATTGGTTTTCTTAATTTTTTTTTCTTTTTTTTTGAGATGGAGTCTCACTCTGTTGCCAGGCTAGAGTGCAGTGGTGTGATCTGGGCTCACTGCAACCTCCACCTCCCAGGTTCAAGTGATTCTCCTGCCTCAGCCTCCCAAGTAGCTGGGACTACAGGTGCACGCCACCACACCCAGCTAATTTTTGTATTTTTAGTAGAGATGGGATTTCACCATGTTGGCCAGGATGGTCTCAATCTCTTCACTTCGTGATCTGCTCTCCTTCGCTTCCCAAGATGCTGGGATTACAGGCGTGAGCCACTGCACTTGGCCAGTTTTATTAACTTTTAAGATGTGGACTTTTAATTTACGACTACTAGTATTGTCATTATTATTGTTTTTGTTGTTGTTGTTGTTTTCCGCCTGCAGATAACTCTTATCTGACCCCTAGCTGATTTGAATTATAATATATCAGACTAGGAAAGCAATGGGGAAATCTTCATCTAAATCTTTGCCTACTTTAGATAAGTGACCCCAGCACAATTTCTTGGCCACCAGAGGACTATAAGTTAGCAAGTTGTATTATGTCATACCCCTGTGGGACAAGAGGATTCCTTGTTGTCCCTTCCTTTTAGCCTTGGTGATAATTTACAAAGATGAACACTTGAGCACCCTAGTTGCTTATAGACTCAAGCTAGTACATGCAAATGGTTATTACGTCTACACTGACAGATGGATATGAAATTGGTAAAGTGTATCAAACTAACTGTTTAAAAAAGTCTTTATTAAAGTTGTTGAGTGGAGTTATTTCTTTGTTATTTTAGAACAACCCTCATGCTTGCTGTGCACTATGACTCACCAGGCATTGTCAACATCCTTCTTAAGCAAAATATTAATGTCTTCACTCAAGACGTGTAGACGAGAGGCAGAAGGTTATGCTCTTTCTCGTGGGTTGACAAAATAAGGGTTTATGTTAAAAGACCAGTTAATACTAAATGGAAGTTTAAAACAATTGCAATTATTCCATCTTATACATTAGGTGAGAGTTCATAGTTTGGTTCTGGTAGTTTGAAATAGCAGTGAGTTTTACCTTTTAGCCAGAAATCAAGCAGAAGTCTAGATTAGTTAGAAGTAGAGGGCAAGATTTTTTTCAGGACTTGTAACACCTTTGTCCTTAGGGATCTCAATGTTGTTCATTTTATTCTAAGTATAATCCCCATGCATGGGATAAAAGGAGCCACATCTTTGACCTCTTTTCTTTTGCTTTTTTTTTTATAGACACAAGGTCTTGCTCTGTTGCCCTGGCTGCTCTTGAACTCCTGAGCTCAAGTGATCCTCCTGCCTCGGCCTCTCAAAGTGCTAGCCACCATGCCTGGCCTGACTTTTCTAATTAGTTATTGGGTCTTGAAATGTCCAATTTAGCAGAAAATCTTGTATTGTCCCCTCGGGCTGTCTCCTGTGTCTTCCTTCTTTGAATTTTCCAAGAAGCTAAGGGCTTTCTTAAGTCCGAGGAAGGCAACCTTTCTTCACAAGTCAGAAGAAGGGGAAAAAGGCCATTCTAATCATTCTGTTGTCTCCAGAATGATCGGACTCACTTGCTGTATTGTTGCCATTGTAACTGGTCCTACAATCTGATAATGATTGACCTTTGCCACCAGAATGCCATCACTGATTCAGACCCCTCAGTTTTCATGGTGATTCATACATAGAGTTCAAAGCTACAGTGTTTATTAGTTTATGTATTTATGTTCAATCATTGTCCCCAGCACCCTGCTCTGGCAGCTAGGCTTCCTAGCTTTACCCACACAAATACTGAGAAAGTTGATGCTTGCCCTACGCTAAAAATCTTATTTGGAACCCACCTCTTAGCTAGACTTAGCCTAGGCCTTCATGGTATGTTATCCTTTGAGAGCCATGTTTGTCTTTTCTTTAACCAATATTAGTTGGACTTGTTCTCAACAGTCAGGGATGTTCAAATAATGTTGCAGGAAAAGATCAGAGCTCCCTTTCCCTTTTGCTATCAGATCGGTACCTTGAGGCTTTTTTACATCCTGTGCAGCAACTTAGGTTAGATAGCAGAAGGTTCCGTGTTACCTTTCCAGCGAGTAGTGGGAACCAACTTGCAGTTGGCCCCTCAAGTAGTGTGTCTTTATAATAATGAAAATCTCCTAGGCTAATCGCAACTCTTTCTCAAGTTTTAAATATGTTTTAAAATTCTGCCTCACAGGAAGCCATTCAATAAAATTCTCTGAATCTAAAGTTAAGTGAGTTGGAGTTAATAGAGCTAAGCCTCATCCATGACTCATGAGTATTTGTGTATCAAACAGGCCTTTGTGCTTGTTTCCACAGCACATATTTTAAAATTGGATCAATACAGAGCAGATAAGCATGGCTGCTGCCTAGGGATGGCACACAAATTACAGAAAGCATTCCATATTTTGCATAGCCCCAGGAAGGTCATTTGACTGTTTGTTGAGTAGCTCCAAGGAAGGTAGTGTGAGTGAAATCAAAACAGGAGACACCCAATATTGAAATTGTGATTATCAGTATGAAACTATTGATGTACGGTGATCTCTGAAATGAGAAAAGAGCTGAGTAGTAAGGGGATGTTACATGTTGTTAGTACATGTCTTGGGAATGAGAAAATGTCAGCTTGTGTTTCCTTCATGGATCTGAAAAACAATCAAAGCAGGGTTTTGTCTTGTCTGTTAGTTGGAGAGGACCATGGAGATCCAGCATCCTGGCATGGATCTGCTGGCTCAGAGTTTGAGGAGGTAGAGAAGGAGTGACAGTTGTCCAAGCCAAGTTTTGATGCCTATTAGTTTTCTGCCCTTGGTGTGATTGATGAGCTCAGTGATAGGAGACAATTAGATAATCTATTTTAATGAGATCATATATATATGTGTGTGTGTGTGTATATATGTATATATATGTGTGTATATATACATTAGTAATAAGTTATTAATTAGGTAAAATGCCCTGAATTACAAGCCACAATGAATCCAACTAATAACCAAAATTAGCACGTAATAACATTTTCTGAAAACTGTAACATTTGAATATTAGGACTTATAGAAAAACACACACTGAGCTTTATTTGGGATTCCAAAAATTGTTTCAGCAATAACGTTCAAGAATAAATTATTCCATTGTTTTACTATTTCTCTGAACATTTAAACATGTAATCTCATTACATCTTCCTAACAACCTAGTGAGGTAGGTAGCAAAATCCTTGTTTTTTAGAAGAAACCATGGAGCCTACGAGAAGCAACTTGTCTGTAAACAGAATACCTATTGGTTACAGAGCGAGGACTTATTCTGAGTGCAGGACACTTTGCATGATGTCCAGCTAACTAGAGTTAATTTACTGAGCTGTGCTTCCTCCATTTATGAGTACTTCACCTTTTTTCTTCTTCAATTGTAAGCTTAATCAGCTTATAAGGTTAAAAAATTTGAAATGTATGGGACATTAAAATTCTGATATTAGGTCTGATATTGCCTGAAATTGTTTTAGAATTTAATATGTTTAGTAAATATTTTTTATTTCAGTATTAAAATAGCAATTTTATTTATTACTTTCGTATACATAGAATTAAACAACAAATTTTGGAACATAAAAAGAAGATACTTAAAAATGGTAATCCAGGTAAGACTTCTGATAGTGAATTTCTTATTTCTCTTGGTGATCCTACTCTTGATAAGAAAATGAAAAGTAAGATACAAGATTAAGGTAGTTAGTGTTAATCAAAAAAAGCCAGTTTAAAAATATGTATGAATTGCATGTGTATATGTGTATTTACATAAGTAAATTAATTTTTTAAATTTAACTTTAGTTTGAAATTCAGACTTATTTAAGAAGGTAGTTGTAGCTAATTTATAATCTCAAACATTATTGTCTGAAAAAATTCATTTATTTAATCATGATCCCTACAATCCTATATAATATTTTTGCATAAATAAGAAAAAAGATTTTTAAGTTAGTATGTTATAGGTTTCCTCTATAGTCACATTATAACAAATTGAACTTGTTATACAAATGGATCTTCTATTTCATTTTTATAATAAATTTTTTATATTTAGTAAATAAAGAATTACAGTTGACCCATGAATAATGTGGGGGTGAGGGACTCTGATCCCCGTGCAGTTGAAGATCTGAGTATAACTTTTGATTCCTTCACCTTAGCTACTAATATCCCACCATTGGCTGGAAGGCTTCCTGATAACATAAACAGTTGATGAACACTTGTTTTGTTTGTGCTGCATTATTATACACTGTGTTCATACAATAAAGTAAGCTGGAGAAATGAAGCTGTTAGAAAGAAAATCATCAGGAAAAGCATATTGACCTTTCATAAAGCATAAGTAGATCCTGACAAAGGTCTTCATCATCATCAGGTTGATTAGGCTGAGGAGGAGGAGGAGAGGTGGATCTTGCTGTCTCTGGGTTGCATAGGCAGAAGAAAATCTGCATATAAGTGAATCCCTGCAGTTGAAACCCTTGCTGTTGAAGGGTGAACAGTATTACATGTTGATTTGTGTCACTAAGAAAGTAACTATCTTAGAAATGGGAACTCAGCAATCCCTTTCTGGTACCATAAATGCAATAAGAAATGTAAAACTGAACAGCATACATCCATACAAATAGGAGATTATTTTTTGAAGATAGCTACTGAGCACAGAAGACAGAAAAGCAATTCCTTATTGAGAAGCACAAGTTATATTACATATTCTTAACACAAGCAAAGTGGTTTTATCTGTCATACTTTACAAAACACATACACATACACACATGCACATATACACACACACAAAGTTAAAAAGTCTTGCTGATTCTTAGTGACCAAATCCAACTGTTTACAGGGAGCAGTGGATAACACATCCTATAGTTTGGATGCAGTTCTTTGGAGTTTTTGACTTGTTTTGTGATGAACTGCCTTTAATGGGTGAATCGTGTTTTTAATTGTATAAGAAACGAAGAAAAAGATTAGAAGCAGTAAACAGGAACTCTATGATCAGTAGTAGACTATTACAGTATATTCAATAGTCATATGTTTTTCTCCAGTTATACAGTTTACTTGAATGATGCACAGTGAATCAATTATTATTATAAGAGATGGGGTCTATGTTGCCTAGGCTAGAATACAGTGTCTATTCAGCAGTACAATCAGCTCACTGTAGCCTTGAACTCCTGGGTTCAACCAGTCCTCCTACCTCATCCTCTGAGTACCTGGGACCTACAGTCTTGTGCAGTTACATCTGGCCTGATACACAATTATTTATTTATTTATTTTTGATACAGGGTCTCCCTCTGTTGCTGGTACTGGAGTGCAGTGGTACCATCTTGGCTCACTGCAACTTCTGCTTCCTGGCCTTAAATGAGCCTTTCATGTTTAACCTTAGCCTCCCACATAGCTGGGACCAAACAGGCATGCACCATCACACTTGGTTAATTTTCTTTTTGAGGGTTTTCTGTTTGTTTGTTTGTTTAATAGATGAGGTCTCACTATATTGCCCAGGCTGGTATGGAACTTCTGGGCTCAAGTGATCCTCCTACCTCAGCCTCCCAAAATGCTGGAATTTATAAGCGTGAGCCACTGCACATGGCCTGCACAATTATTATATAAAGGAATGAAGCCCAGTTGAGTTGCAGAAAATGGACCACCTTTTCGTTTTTTTTCTAGAAACATTCATATTATAGGACATATTGTCAATCACCCAGATCCTCTATTTTTTATTTGGTTAAAATAGGATTGCTGCTTATTTCACATTACTTTGTGACATTATTGTTTCGTTTATTCCTTTTATGGCTTTATTCAATTGGATAGATATAGAAATACAAGAATCTCCAAGTCAAACATCAAGGCAAAAAAAGAAAAACAGATTAGGGAAAGTTATTCTGTGAAATAGCCATCTGATTACAGTTACATGTATCATATCAACTTAATAAAAATCTTATACAATGCATATGTGTCACAGTTTCCCAAGACCACCCCCAGGTTTGGTGGTTCACTAGAAGGACTCACAGGACTCAGCAAATAGTCATACTCAGATCTTTAACTGATGACAAGAAAGGGGACAAGTAAAATTAGTAGAGGAAAAAGGTGTGCATGTGGTCAAGTCTGGAGGAAACCAGGCACAAGCCTCCAGGACTTCTCTCCTGTGGAGTTCCCAGGATCTGCTTAATTCTCCCAGGCTCACATTTTGACAACATATGTGCAGTGATGTCTGTCAGTACCAGAGTCTCATTAGAGACTTAAGTACCCAAGTTTTTATATGGAGGTTACTCTCCCTCACAGGTATCCAAATTCCAGACTTCTAGAAGGAAAACAGCTGTTCAGAGTAACCACACTGTTTCTATAAACACTTTAAACACAGTGAGCCACTCTTCTCAGGGAATGGTGGAAACCCTCCCAATTCCAATTTCCTAAACACCAGCCAAGGGCCAGCCTTGCATGCAGGCCTTTCTAAGGATGGCAGTCTCTTGCCTGCTATATGAAATCTTTTCTGCACAACACTTATAACCCCAACTTAAACTTTGGTGTTGTTTTAAAATTTCATTTTAGTAACACTCAATATTATAAGGTAACTTGGTACTAGTTTCTGTTGTATGATCCATCTGAAGTTGTAAAGCTAGTTGCTCTTTTGACTTTTGGTGACTAACAGGTATTTGCATGTAAGTTACCATAGCAGTGTTAGGTAATTATAATCTGTCCTTTTTAACGCATTAATCTTTCAGTAAAATGTTAAATAAGCATAATTTCCGAGTTAAAATTAGAATAAAAATGGTCTTTTATTTTGATTACATGAATAATCTAGTTTTCATATTGTGCTAAATCCGTGTTTAGAATTATGAAATAAGATAAAATATTTAATCATTTTATCAATATTTTCTTACCTATGCATGCAATTAAATTTATTTATTTATCATATATACTTCAATTTGTGAAATAATGACCACATGCTGTTACTTTGGTCTTCAATGATCTCTAATTTTTAGGGTCACCGTGTCTTGCTTAAATATATTATAACAACAGGTTCAGTGAATATCCTTTATTTTTTGTTTTTATTTTTGAGACAGAATTTAGCTTTTGTTGCCCAGGCTGCAGTGCAATGACACAATCTCAGCTCATTGTAACCTCCATCTCCTGGGTTCAAGCGATTCTCCTGCCTCAGCCTCCCAAGTACCTGGGACTACAGGCATGCACCACCATGCTCGGCTAATTTTTTGTATTTAGTAGAGACGAGGTTTCACCATGTTGGTCAGTCTGGTCTCAAACTCCTGACCTGACCTCAGGTGATCCACCCGCCTATGGCCTCCCAAAGTGCTGGGATTACAGGCATGAGCCACTGCACCTGGCCATCTTTTTTTTTTTTTTTAATTTTTGTTCTGGAAGATCCTGGGATGCATAGACAATGAATATCCTTTTTTGTTTGTTTGTTTGCTTGTTTGTTTGTTTGTTTGTTTTGAGACAGAGTCTCACTCTGTCACCCAGGCTGGAGTGCAGTAGCACGATCTTGGCTAACTGCAACCTCCACTTCCTGGGTTTAAGTGATTCTCCTGCCTCAGCCTCCTGAGTAGCTGAAATTACAGGAGCCTGCCACCATGCCCAGCTAATTTTTGTATTTTTAGTAGAGACGAAGTTTCACCATGTTGGCCAGGCTGGTCTTGAACTCCTGACCTCAGGTGATCCACCCACCTCTGCCTCCCACAGTGCTGAGATTACAGGCATGAGCCACCATGCCCAGCTGTGAATATCTTTTTTAAGTCAGTAACTTTATTTCTTAGAGCAGTTTTAGGTTCACAGCAAAATTGAGAGGAAGGTACAGAGATTTCTCATATGTTCCATGCCTCCCACACATGCGTAGCCTCCCCTATTATTACTATTTTCCACCAGAGTGGTACATTTATTACAACTGATGAACCTACATTGACACATTCTAATCACTCAAAGTTCATAGTTTACTTCAGGCTTCACTCTTGATGCTGTACATTCTGTGAATTTGGACAAATGTGTAATGATATGTATCTATTACTGTAATATTATTGACAGAACAGTTTCACTGCCCTAAAAATTCTCTATAATATGCCTGTTCATCTCTCACTTTCTCCCTAGCAACTCCTGGCAACCATTGATCTTTACTCTGTTGTCATAATTTTACTTTTTTCAGAAGAGTCATATAGTTGGAATAATACATTGGGTATCTTTTTGAATAGTTAAAAAAAGCTCCATTGTAATTGAATGTAGTCATTTAAGATGTATGTACTTTGTCCTTTTGTTTTTCCTTTGCTTCTTTATCATTGTAAAGAATGATATATGCTGACGACGTATTCCTTACATACTTAGAAAACATGATTTGTATAGGTATTTGTCACATAATGGAAAGGGTTGAGGAAAAGGACACCATGCAGTACCACACAGCACAAACTGGGGCCTCTTGCTCTATGAGGTGGGTCCAGATAGACTCTCTAGCAGTGAAAGGGGACAAGTTCCAGGGGTTGTACTTTATAAAACTGGAATCACAAAGTTTTTCTTACTTACCTTTGGTTAGAAATAAAAGCAGACAGTGAATGCTATAGGTAAATACATAGGTTCCTCACTGATCCTCTTCCTTTGAGGGATGAGTTTGACAACAAGCTATTAAAATGACATGACTCACCTACAACTAGATTCTGTCATGAGGGATGGTAAGGGAGTTTTGCTTGATGTGAGGTGAAAAAGAATTTTTTTCCCTTACTAGGGAGAAGGGCAAACATTGGAACATTCTGGTAGTAAAAGGGCATTGATACGGTTTTCTTTCTATACATTTTCATGTCATATAGTACTGCCTGGCAGCCTGCCACACCTCCCCAGTGTTTCTTAAGCTTCTCTCTGAATGTGAGGTATAGTTCGTAGTGGATACGCTCTTAAAGGAGTGATATTTCCAGTGGTTTTTCTGTGGGAGGTAAAATGGCAGGTGAATTTGGGCCTTGTTATACGTAGGGCAGAGCAAATAGCTACAACTATGTAAACCACCCAGCACCTTCCCCAAAGAATAGTAGCCAGAGTAACACATTGATCTCTTTTGATCTTTTTTCCACTAGCAGCTGGAAAGTCTTTGCAAGCATTCCTGTTTCTGATCGGATTCCTATATTTTGCTGGCTTCTGGTGATAGGGTGTTTTATCCTAAACTGAACAGTTTGAACTGAAGAGCTAGAGAGGCTGTGTTGTGTTACAACAAAATAAGTACAGTAGTTCGCCCTTAACTGTAGGAGATACATTCCAACGCCCCCAGTGGATGCATGGAACTACGAATAGTACTGAATCACAAACTGTTTTTTCCTACACATATGTATCTAGGATAAACTTTAATTTATAAATCAAAATAAATCTGATGTTATCTGCAGATAGAGTGTGAAAATTGAATTGTGTCATCAGCAGAAATGATTGCTTGCTTGTTGGTGGGGAAAAACTCTCCACACATTTGGTCACAGAAGCCTTCTCTGTTGATGATTGTTGCTGTGGCGTGACAGCAGACAAAACCATGTCAAGTATGTCTTTCTGCACATATAGTGGATAAGGGGTACTACTGTATACTCTGTTTTAACTGCCCCTCATGTTTTGGTCCAGAAATCATGCTCTTTGACACTGTTGACTCATCACACCTGTTCCGCTAACAATAACATTTTTACTCAGTCTCATAGGGTTTGACTAGGATGACTTGTATACTGCAGTTTACTTGTAGATACCAAATTTTAATAAATTTATTCTTCTTTGCTTTTAATAAGTACAAAGGGAAGTAACAGTTCTTAATGCATTAATTACCTACCAATAGGTATAATTAATGTTAATTCTAATAAGGTCCCAGGTATGCTCCCAAAGGAATTCTTTGTAACAAAGCATCAGTCATGTGCTTTACAAAAACAAACCAAACCAAAACAACACAACAACAACAGGATCTAAAGCATACACACAAGTGTGCACAAATTTTTTTAATGAAGGTGTAGAGTCTTGCTATGTTTCCCAAGCTGGTCTCAAACTTCTGGGTTCCTCAAGTGATCCTCCTGCCTCAGCCTCCCAAGTAGTTTTGATTATAGGCATGCATCACTGTGCATTTTTTTGCTTTTAATATTCTGTATATTTATGATTGATTTAAAATGCATTTTGCCTTTTTCTTTAATAGATGTTGGAAGTGCTGATGAATCTGCAGTCAGATAGGATTTTATAGATTTAAAAATTATGTTAACTAAGGAAATATAGATGGAAGAAACTAGTATCTGTTGAGTGTCATAGTCTGGGCTGGACATCCTGTTATGGTCTATGCATTTATCATCTCATAAAGCCATCACAACATCTGTGTTTCTATAAGCTACTGCTTATTAAATAAACAACTATGGATTAGAGCAGTTGATTAATTGGCTCATGATCCCATAGTTAACAAAGTCGCTGGCCCACTTTGATCATCAGCCTGCCTGCCTTCCAAATCCCTTCTCTTGCTCCTCAGCATAGATTGATAGACATCTGTGTAGCCCTTGGATCAAGGTATACGTCTGAATCAGATTAATCAGATTCATTAATTTAATGTCTAAATTAATGAGAGTTTAAATACCTTCAACTCTCATTTAAGGTTATCATTAGAATGTGGTTAGTCCAAGAGTTTGTCCTGATAAATTTGACAATTTCAGTGGTAACCAGTATCTTATTTTTACCATCAAAGGCTTTAGGGCAGATCTTACTTAGCTATGGCCATAGGACTGTAAGTTTTACAAAATCAAATTTAGGCAAGCCTTAGAAATTATTTCATTTCCTGGTTTTGTTTTCCATTTAGGCTAGTATTTTTGCTTACTTCCATAATACTTTTTTTAGTCTTGTTTCTTTTTCCATGAATTTTCCATAATCTTGTATTGATTTTTTAAAACTTTCGTCTCTGCTTTTTTTGGTGTTTCTTTTATTCTATTATTTTTTTCAAATTCTGCTATGTATTCCCAGTTTTCCTATAGACAGAATCAAAAGCACATAGAATTACAGAATTTTAAGGAATCTTAGAATGAATTAAAATACCTTGTAGTATTTTCACGTGTGTTGAATATTCTGGTGAAGTGATTCTTTAGATAGAGAACTTGAGAATCAAAAAGATTAGGATTTTTTTTTAGACATAGGAATTGACAGAAATGAGATTTGTACTCATTTTAAAGCCCAGTACTCTTCCTTCTTTTTATATCGTATTGGCGTGTGTTTAATAATACAAATGGGAGTGAGTCTCTTGCACCCAGTGGATAGAATGAAGATGGAATTAGCTAGTGAACCCAATGAAAGTGGGTAAGAATGGAATGAGCAGAGGAAGGCCAAGTTTGAAGAGAAACACTTATCAATAAATTATAAAGATGACGGGCACACAAGATATTGGGAATTATCTACAAAGGCATATTAAAATAGAAGATTCAAAGGAGCTCTAAAAAATTTGCTGCTTTTTTTTATTTATCAAGGACTGACAAACTTGGAAGATTTTTACTGAAAGATGCTAAAACATTTTGAGACACTGGGAGGAGTGTCTAGAGCAGATAGAAATGTGGTATCATCTACTTCCATCCTGACTTACAGAGGGGGTGCCTTAGAGCCCCTGGAATACTAAGGGACTGGAGACTGCTGAACTACATAGATCTGTGGTACAGGGCAGGTGCCTCCTTACCTCTGCCTCTGTTCCCAATTCACTGATGTCCTTCCCTTGTTCACGGAGTTCAGTTGGGACTTTGGTAGTGTGTCTGTGCTGGGGGCAGGTGATGGAGATTCCAGTTAGCTTGTTTTTCAGGAGCTGGGATATAGAGGGCTCCTACACTTAGTCATTTGAGGCCTTCCTTTCAGGAATCTCTGCTTTCATAGACTGAAGATTTGAAGATTGGAGACTTCTGTGGAGCCTTGCAGAAGTGGAATCTGGAAGCGGGAGCCCATAGGAAGACAGATATTTAGATAGTACTTAGGGAAATAGAGGCACAACTAGCAGGACTCTGTTTTTCCACCAGGCTCTCTCCTTGGGTGTCTGAGTGCCTATGAAAATCTTTAAGAGCTTGCTAGTTTATGTGGATCTGAATAAGGCAGGACCTATAGAGTGGAAATAATGGAATTTTATTATTGTTAATGTTTTAATCTTTCTGGGCAAAGTATTCTCAGTAAGAACATACACCTTCGTTGTTTGGTTTTTGTACATTTAGCTTTCATACATTTCAAATATTGCAAGAGAGTCCCTGTACTGATTTAGGGCAAAGGAAAGCAATAGGACCTTCCTAAGTGGTTTCCTTGCTGAGAACTCAAGACTGCCATTTTGAAGTGATGCAGATTAGTCTTTTAACCAGAGGTAGATCATGGACAAGAGACAGTGGATCTCTCTACCTTGTTTTAGATCATCGATTTTCTTCCAGATTAGGTAACAAAATGTATGTCATCCATTAATTGAATTTTAAGTTCAGCTTCAGGAGAGATCATTTGTGAGGGTAAATTATTGTCAGGCTCTGCCAACATATTGACTGTCACTATTTGTTATAAAGCTCAAGGTCAGTTTTCATTGAATATTTTATAGATTTAGACAGGTGGAAGCAGAAATAGGTAACTAAAATCTTTTACTACAGAGGACGTATTTTAATTATATCAAGAATCATTATTTAATATGTAGATCACTGACCTTTCCCCAGGTTATGGTTTCCTTTTTTGAGGGGGAAGCTGGATATAAACTGGCATTTAAAAAAATTGTAAAGAAATCAACTTGCTCATTTTCATTGTACATTTTTGCTCTCAAGCATTTTCCGTGATCTGTGTGTGGATTCATTGCCTGCATCGGATGATGAAGACTTGAGTGTTTCTACTAAGGTAAAGTAGTCTCTTGTAAAATTATTTTTCACTCTGAATCCAGTTTTGCATAGTATTTACTTTCAAAACTTAGCAGTGGTATACCTATCATAGTTTTATGGTGGTAATGGAAAGTTGGTCAGAGAAAAACATACATGTAGCTAGTTGATTCAAAACATTTGTTTAACTTTGGTAACTAACAAAGATTGATAAGTCCTGTGACAGGGTGTGAGCTGAAAAAAATGAACCGGAAAGTAAGTAGTGACAGGAAAATCACATTAGGAAATGCTTTCTCCAATAGAGGAAACATGAAATTTGGTTAAGGTTTATTTGGATAAATACAGCACTTTGATTTTTAAATCATATGAGAGTGACTTTCATAATATTTATGCCTGTATAAATCTTCAGTGGATCAAATTATTTGCAGTAATCATGGACTCCCCCAGGACGTTTTAGTTGCAAAATTGTTGAGCACATAGCATAGAGCTTTTTTTTTCTTGGAAACTTACAATTTTGGTGTCATACAGTTTTTAGGAGAGATTGTTTCTCTACTTATATTATTGGTTCTGTAATGAGACTAAAATAGTATTAAAAATTGCAGAAAAAATCACTTGAGTGTGGTGGTGTAGACTTGTGGTCCCTGCTACTTGGAAATTTGAGGCAGGAAGATTGCTTGAGCCCAGGAGTTTGAGAAAAGCCTGGGCAACATAACAGGACTATCTGTCTTAAAAATATAAATTGTGGAAATGTAAAAATTTAAATTTATGCTCTCAAAATTTGTATCGCAAAGGGATTTTTGTGTGTTTTATAAGTTGTCCATGAAGAGTTTATATAAAACACTTCATCTAATTGAATAACATGTATTTTGCTGCAAATAAACAGTTCTAGAAACAGAGACTTGTAATACCAATATGGTAAGACTTTTAACATCATAATTTTGTCATTGTAGTTTATTTAAAATATTTACTTGGCCAGGCGCAGTGGCTCACGCCTGTAAGCCCAGCACTTTGGAAGGCCGAGGTGGGGGATCACCTGAGGTCAGGAGTTCGAGATCAGTCTGGCCAACATGGTGAAAGCTTGTCTCAAAAAAAAAAAGAAAAAACACAAAACTTAGCTGGGCATGATGGCACATGCCTGTATTCTCAGCTGCTCAGGAGGCTGAGGAGGGAGAATCGCTTGAACCCAGGAGGCGGAGGTTGCAGCAAGCCAAGATTGCACCATTGCACTCCATCCAGGGTGACATAGCAAGACTACATCTTAAAAAATGAAATAAAATAACCATTCAAAGTCCTTATATCACATTCTGAAATTTTGAGTTTCAGAAGTTTTTATGTTTAGTTGTTTAAGTAATCATTGGAAACTCCTGAATACCATGAGCTACTGGAGGTCAGGAAACATATTTACATGTATCCTGGAGTACGTAGAATACAGTCTTCCATGTAAGAAGCATTTTAATTGTTGTTTTTTGAGATGGGGATTCACTCTGTAACCCAGGCTGGAGTGCGGTGGTAAGATCTTGGCTCACTCCAATCTCCATTTCCTGGGCTCAGGTGATCCTCACACCTCAGCCACCCAAGTAGTTGGGACTATAGACCTGTGTCACCATGCTTGGCTGATTTTTGTAGTTTTTGTAGAGACAGGATTTTGCCTTGTTGCCCAGGCTGATCTTTAACTGTTGGGCTCAAGTGTTCTGTCTGCCTCAGTCTCTCAAAGTGCTGGGGTTACTGGCATGAGACATTCAGCCTTAATAGTTGCTTAATCTGAATAGACAAATGAATTTTTATGTAGTGCAAGATTATAAGTAATATAATATACCTCATGTATCTAATGATTAAACTTTTAAAATATTGCTTACATTTGCATTATTTTTTAATATTTAAGAATGTTTAAGTTTTGATGTGTTATGTTGAGAAATTATACCATACATAAAAAGGAAATAAGTTAGAAATAGGTCATCAGTAGCAATGAGAATTACAATGTATTTTCAAGTGTCATTCAACTGGAATCTTAACATTGTGATTTTAGATTAACATTTCTTGTGCTTTTTATTAGCCCCAACTCATGTTCTTTGAAATTTACCTTTTCAAGCCATACATGACTCTTTAGAATTCTGGTGACCAATTGTTTTTCTAGGTGGAAAGTTGAAAGTTCCAGGTTTCTCTCTTTGTTATAATAATGTTCTTTCAGGTAGTGGTAGATGACCATATTTAAGTAATTGAATGTCTTAGAGTAATAAACTCTATCACAGAAGTACTTACAAAAAACTAATTGTAGCATAAATATTAATTAGTATTATTAGGGATATGAAAGACCAAAAGCCTCTGTTATAGATCTGTTTCTCCATTTACTTTATTGTACTTCATGTTGTTTATTTTCTTTCTTGGCTTAAGCTCATGTTTCATTGACCAGTTAGGCTTGTTTTTTGTTTGTATCTCCCTTCGTTCTCACATTTTAAGTTGAAATTTTTGTGGAGTCAGGGTCTTGTTCTGTTGCCCAGGACAGAGTGTAGTGGCATGATCTTGGCTCACTACAGTCTCCGCCTCTAAAGCTCAAGTGATCCTCCCACATCAACCTCCCGAGCAGCTGGGATACAAGCACACACCATAAAGCCTGACTCCTTTTTGTATTTTTGTGTAGAGATGTGTTCTCATTATGTTGCCCAGGCTGGTCTCAAACTCCTGAACTCAAGCAATCCACCCACCTTGGCCTGGCAAAGGGCTGGGATTACAGGTGTGAGCCACCATGCCTGGGCAATATTGAGGTTTATTTAAAGGAATTGATTAAATAAACCTGGCAAAGGGCTGGGTGTGGTGGTGTACAGTGGTTATCTCAACACTTTGGGAGCCAGAAGTAGAAGGTTTCCTTGAGCCTAGGAGTTTGAGACCAGCCTGGGCAATATAATGAGGCTCTGCCTCTACAAAAATAACAATAAAAACGTTAGCCTGACATGGTGGTACGCACCTGTAGTTCTAGCTGTTCGGGAATTTGAGGTGGGAAGATTGCTTGAAGTCAGGAGGTTGAAACTGTAGTGAGCCATAATCATACCACTGCGTTCTAGCTCTGGTTTGACAGAGTGAGACCCAGTTTCATAAAAAGAGATTGATAAGAAACTCTTGATGCAACTTCTTATAATTTTTAAAATGGAAACTTTTTCTTGATATTACCTTAGCAGTGTGTCCCCGAGAAAGTGTCAGAGCCTTTACCTGGACTTTCCCGTGAAAAGGGAAACAGAATAGTCAATGCAAAAGGAGAACGTGAGATTCGTATTTTGTTTAAAAAGTCATTTGATGGAATGTTTCTTTTAAAATATAAGCACTAATATAGTCGAATAGCTAAAGAAAATGTCCCATTAACTGTATAATAAGTAAAGGAGAAGTAAAATGGTGATAAGTTGTGTCTCTAACCCAGGGTCAGCAGTTGATTCTATTGGGAGTACCACTAAAGGAGCTGAGTTACGAGCTCCATTTTAAGACACTCTAAGACCTGAGGCAAGTCAGGAAAGAGGGAATGGAAATCAATAAAAGAGAAAGAATGAGGAGGGCAGAGTGTACAGGGAATTAAAAAAAAAAAATGCGGGTGTATGTAATGGAGGGTAGTAAACTCAAATTGTTCTGTAGAAGAAGGAAGAACATGGTGTTAGAAATAGGAAAGAAGATAAAGTGAGCTTCCAGTACCAAAATGTGTCAGAGAATTAGAGTTACATTTTCCTACTCTTGCTGTCATCCTCACTACTGGGAAGGCATTAAGGATTGAGGTACTTTACTACACAGACCTGTGTTTTATCTACCATAGATGAGCATCACCAAAAGTGGTCAGCCATGTATGGCTATAATTTAGTTTTATAGAAAATGTTGTAACCTCATGGGATAGTATCATATAGGTCAAATTAACATAATTGAAAAGAAGAGTGTTGGGTGATTTATGGAGAAGAAATTAATTAGAGAAGGTATTGCCTGATTAAAAGTTCATTAGGAACACTATGGCTTATAATGTAGTATTAAATTCAGGGACATAATAGGGAAGAAATTGAGGCTAGGCCAAAAAGGACAACTAGGGTAAACAAATATGGAAGCATATCAGTGTAGAACAGGGCATTCAAATTCTCATGAATTAGTTGAGGAGCTTCTGCAAAATGCACATTCTGATCGATTCTGCCTTTCTCATGAATACTCAGGTGATGTTGGTGCTGGTCCTTGGATATAGCTCTGAATAGCAAGGGAATAGCCTTCCTTTAGCGAAATCTGGAAAAAGAACCATTGAACAGCAATTTTAAAAATAGCAGAATCAAGGGAAAGCATTAATTTCCTTTTATTTCTGAGCGTGATTCTAGCCATAGGGGAAGGAGAATGAGATGAAAAGAGAGATTACAGGTGTATACTATTGCTGAATACAGATGTAAACAGTGGTCACAATTATCCATAAAAAGCAGTTAGGAAGGGAAGCACGACAGATCTAAAAATCACTTTTTCAAAGGAAGAGGGATTGTGAAAGGACAAGGAGGGAGGAAAGAAAGACATTTGCTGGGGTCTTGGGAGTTAAAGCTAAGTAAACTTGAGACAACTCACTTCCAATTGCTTCAGCATATACCCAGTCTCACAAAAGAGGTTATTGCCATGGGGAGTACTGGAGGCAGGAGGGAGTGCTAGAATTGGGGTAAACCACAGCAGCTCATCTCACTTCATAACTGTCAGGTCTCAGAGAGAGACGTCTCATTGACATGAGTGAATAAGATGTGATTAAGTTGCATATAGATACTTTGGCTAATTTTTTTTCGAAACAGTCAGTTCTTTGATATGATAGGTGTTTTATAAAAATCCTTTACAGTGTAGGATGATATACCAAACTTAGCTAATTTTAGAAGCAATAATATTGTAAAATTCATTCTGTGAATACCAAAATTGTCATTTTCAATAAATATTACACTAATTTTGCAATATGAAAGTGTATTCATATCCAGCAAGTCTGTGGTAATTCAATGTTTTCTTTTTTGATAAATGTTTTGATATTGGAAGCTTATTCTACACGGTTTGTTTGGTGTGTTTTTTGGACTGCCTTGCATGAGTGGATCAAGGAGCTCTAATTTAAGGCCAAACGAGGAGATAGGAGAAACGTAGGTGCTACAATAGCCCATGCGGTCATGGGAAAAATGAGTATTTTGATTAGCTGTCATTTCATAAGTGTGTATCCTAGCTGATCAATTTAGAACACTCTCTTTAATGAGAGGTGAATTGCACATTCATCCGAACTGTCATCTCAACTGTGTATTCCTCAGTGACAGGACAGGGGAATTTGTTTGTGGTGTGCTGGCAGCCATGCCTCTGATGTGTTGAGTGAAAATACTCTGTACACTCACCATCAGCTTTGACATTGATTCCCTCAGGTTTGATTTGGTCCTCTGTTTAATGGTCTGTTTTCTCCTCATTAGCCCACGTGTTCACGGTGCTATCCATGGTTTTCTATTTTATGTATAGGCATTAGAAACATAATCTCACTATTGAAATGTAAACTGTGTTTTAGGAATCCTATATTCCTATTTTCCTCATATTTCTGTCATGTTGCTGTCCTAGGCAATGAAAAGATGTCAAGAAGAACCTCAAAACCTTAAGTAAGTATTTTTATAGCCAGGCATGAAAACTCAGCTTGATAGTAACACTGCATGAATGTTTGGTTGGCCCTGTCATACTCATACTTACATGTAATTGATGACATATCCCCTTTGCTTTGTAGAGCCTCCTGCAAAACATCCTTCCTTGAAGGTAATTAATTATGTATATTTTTTGAATCACTAACTCCATATTGTATAAAATATATATAATTTATGAATCATTTTCTTTTAAAACCTATTCAGCCTAGCACTAAAATGGAAGATCCTGCTGTGAAAGGAGCAGTACAAAGAAAGAATGTTCAGATATTGAGAGCAGATACGTTTTCAATACAAATGGAATGCTGGAAATAAGTACCTCAAATGATTGAAAAGTACTCACATTATTCTTAACCCCTAATTCATTAACATAAATGTTATTGTTGGTATCTACATTTGAATAAAAATAAATTTAGAAGCATAAAAAATATTTTTAAAAATGTAAGCTTTAACTCAGATGTTTCTGTTTTAAGTTTTGAATAGCATAAAGTTTTCAATATAAAATTTTTGTACTTGTCATGTATTCAAAGCAGTGAAATTTGAGACTCTAAGATAATTCCAGTGAGTTATGTGCTAGTTGGAGTTCTGATCTTTACCTAGAGGAAAGCTTTACTTATTAACGTGTCAGTTTCTGTTTTAACTATAGAGACTTGCTGCTAGTGTTATTACACTGATGTTCTGAAGCCAATCAGATGTTCCAATGAGCAGACTGTGTGTGTATGTGTATGTATAGGTGTGTGTATGTGTGTGTTTGTGGCATCTTTGATTATTAAAAATTAGGGAAGTATTTATTCATTTATAACTGGTAGAGTCTTTTAAAAGGGTTATTTTGAGACTTTTTGGTGTTAAGGTTTTTGAAACATGATTGCATAGAGGCTACCGACATCATAAATCGATTGTTTTTCATTTCAGTGCCCTTTTGAAATCTTTAACTATATTGTGATGCTCAGAAATAATATGCAGAATTTTTTATTTCTGTCCTAAAATGGTATGTTAGTGGGTTATACACTTTACATACCTTTCTGCCACTTTCTTTGGTGTATTTTGTATTATATTTTCCAGATGCATCCACATTGATATGATTATCTCTGGTTTAATTCATTTTACACTTTTCATTGTATTCCCTTTTACCACTTTACCACTTTCAGTTAGACTCTCCTGTTGCTGATAAATGAAGAAAGAAAGAAAAATAAAAATAATGTCAGATTAAAAAGGCTTTTGTTTAATCAGTTTGTATCTATTAATGTTTACTATACGAGAGTTTAAAGCTGAAAAGTTCAGAGTGCAAGCATGCACCACCATAGTTTATAAATGCCCTTAGAACGGATTTATGAGCCTTTAGCCTCTGAAGTTAGGACAATTCCTTTCTCTGTAGAAGTTTGCTGTGCTGTTCTCAGAAAAGAAAACTGAAAAGAGCAAATGGCATTGTCTTATTTGACTTCTTGGACATCCTTGAATGAAACTGAAACTCCGGGAATACTCAGATCAAAATTCAGAACTAATGTTTTGAACAATATATATAGTATGTGAATGTCTAGTCATCATGAGCCCTTGATGGTGAAATGAACTTTCAAGTTTCACTTTTACATTATTTTGCTCTTTTCCTTGACTTGCCTTAAAAGCTTAGATTCAACAGTTTTATTTATACAGAAACCGGGAATAGAACTTGTTAAATACATTTCTGTCCTGTCTCACGGCATTGTGTATGCTTCAGATCTAGTGTGAACTAGACCTATTTTTATATGGGAACAATTAGGTTTTTGTGTGTTTATTTGTGTTTTTGAGACAGTCTTGCTCTATCACCCAGGCTGGAGTGCAGTGGCTCAGTCTTGCCTCATTACAACCTCTGCCTCTTGAGTTCAAGCAATTCTCCTGCCTCAGCCCCCTGAGTAGCTGATACTACATGTACATGCTACAACACTCTGCTAATTTTTCTATTTTTATTAGAGAGAGGATTTCACCATGTTGGCCAGGGTGCTGTCCAACTCCTGACCTCAGGTGATCTGCCCACCTCAGCTTTCCAATGTGCTGGGATTATAGGCGGGATCCACTGTGTTGGCTACAGATAAGATTGTTAAGGCTATTGTATTTTAGATAAATCTTTGGTCTATATTTAAGGCTTCATATATGAATTCTGAAGGTATTCATGTGTTGAGGGAAGATGAAAGCAGTTTTTAATTTAATATATATTCATTGAAATGTTTTTTGAAGTTTTTGTCTCTAGTACACAGAAACACAAAATAATGTCTTGGGTATTTAATCTTAATGTGTTTATGCACAAAGTTAGTTATTCAAATATTTTCTTATCTCTGAAGAATCTTAATTATTAAAACATTTGTGAAAAACAAAATATATAATAGACATTGTTGAGTGATTCAAAGTAAATTGTAGTAAATAACAAAAGCTCAGAACAAAATGAGAGATTCTAGTTAAGTAAACTTGTCTGAGTTAATAGCAATTACAGGGCTTGTAAAATACATTAGACCATGAAGGAGTAGTGTGTGTGTGGGGTAGAGGACAATATGGAACTACTTCAGTGAAGAAAGAATTTTTATACTTTATTACAATTTGTATTACTATTTACATTCTAATAAATAAAAACATAATTTTCAGATATTTTAGATTGTATTTCTACTACTTGAACCGTCAATAGTAAGACTTTTCAAAAATTTGGGAAGTTGTGAGTTGATGATAAATATCTATAACCATCAGTGATCAAAAATCAGACAGCGACCACAAACTTTGGACACACGAACTTCATAGTTAAAGAAAGGATTAATCTTGAAGCTGTGTTTCTATCAGGGAATTATACTCTTCATTACCTGTGTGAATCACAGCTATTACAGTAGAAAGAGAGCAAGGAAGGGAAAGAAGCATGGAAAATTTTATTCTAGATTCCCTCGGTTGGCTTCATGCTACCGTAGTTCTGACTTGTAAAGTCATTTTGTGGTCAAATGTGCTTTGTGTTTACTCCCCTTATGCAGCCTACAGCCAAACATAATGCTTCTTAGCAAGGCATTTGTATTCTTCCTTTAAGGAAAGCAACATATAAATAACAAAGAGAATGAGGAGAAAGAGTAATTTCATTGAGGTTAGTATTTAACATAAATTTGTGTGTGGGTACCATGATTATATTTAGAATTTTGGGCCTCGATTGGAAAATGAAGTAGATGTCTACAGATTTCCTACTCAAACACAGTTTGGCTTTGATTCATTTTTACATCTCTAATTGTGCAATTATTAGGTATAATTATATGCAGTGTCACTAAAAATACCTACCCAAACCAAATATTAAATGATGTCTATGGCTTTCTGTATTATAGTGTTGATTTTCCCAATATTAATGGGAACCATTGAGCATTTGCCTTGTAGTGTCTCCTCGGCTGTACTCACACATTCCATCACCTTGTCTTAATGGATGGATAATCATGCACTAGGAATACGGGTTTTCATCAGAGCTGTATCATTTCAAGATAACACATGAGCATCAAATTTAATTCTGCTAGAACACACAGTCTGTTGATTAACTGCAGAACTATGGGGTCTACTTTACATACAAGTTAAATTCAGTGCCTTTAATCAGTCATATGATCAGGTGAACAGTAATAAATTATGCATTATTTTTTCACTCCTATAGTTTTAATTTCTTTTTCCCCTTATGTCTAGAATTAACATTTTGTTTTATAAAATCTTATGGTAATCTTCTAGAGTAGTGATGACAAGCCATAAATCTAAAGTTTCTTACCTATGCAAATGACTTGTTTGCTTCTATTTTCTCATGAGCTTCGTAGATCCAGCAAGCAGAACTTTTAAAACAAAATCCCCAAATGTGGCTGGGTGTGGTGGCTTGTGCCTGTAATCCCAGCACTTTGGGAGGCCGAGGTGGGCGGATAACCTGAGTTTGGGAGTTTGAGACCATCCTGACCAACATGGAGTAACCCATCTCTACTAAAAATACAAAAGTAGCTGGGCATGATGGCACATGCCTGTAATCCCAGTTACTCGGGAGGCTGAGGCAGGAGAATAGCTTGAACTCGAGAGGCAGAGGTTGCAGTGAGCTGAGATCACACCATTGCACTTCAGCCTGGGCAGCAAGAGTGAAACTCCATCTCTAACAACAGCAACAACCATGACCACCACCACCACAAAACCCAAATGCATTTTCTTGGCACAGTAAAACTGAAACAGAAAAAGTATCAAGCAAATACAAGTAACTGAAACAGTTTATGTGTGTTATTTTACTTCTCATTTGATAATTTTTGTAAAGTAATGAACAGCATGTAATTCTTTGGGGACCCAGATATATATATTTATTCATTCAATAAAAATTCATTCTTATAATGGCCACTGATACTTATATTCTAAATATTTCTAAAAACATCTCCTCAGACCTGCATCATCTTTGCAACGTTGCCTTATATTTTATCTTTGTTCATTTATTTATATGCCTCAGAATTTTATGCTCCTCACAGTATTTAGAGTTAATTATCTCTAATGCAAATAGATCCGTGAACCACTCCTGAATACCTAATGTCCAAGCATATTAAAGGTTTATATAAGGCTTTCAGAAACTGACCTCTGGGTTGGGCACGGTGGCTCATGTCTGTAATCCCAGTACTTTGGGAGGCTGAGGCAGGTGGACGATTTGAGGTCAGGAGTTCGAGACCAGCCTGGCCAACATGGTGGAACCCCATCTCTACTAAAAATACAAAAATTAGCAGGTGGTACTGGCACCCGCCGGTAATCTCAGCTCTTTGGGAGGCTGAGGCAGGAGAATTGCTTGAACCTGGGAGGCCGGGTTGCAGTGAGCCGAGATGATGCCACTGCACTGCAGTCTGGGAGACAGAGTAAGACCTTGTCTCAAAAAAAGAAAAGAAAAAGAAGCTGACTTCTGCCCAAATCTCCATCTGTAGCCCTTTCCCCATCTGCCTTTTTCTCTGGAATTACTGAGCTGCTGGTAATGCCCCTCTCACCATTCCTCTTTTGCAGAGAAATACACATGCTCTTGGAGGCTTCTCTACCTCTTTTGGTGCTGCCTGGCATGTGCTCACCCTTTCCTGCCCTCTGCCTCACTTAATCTGGCTAACCTCACTCTCTAAGTCTCAGCTCATGCATGATCTTTAGGAAAGCCATCCCTGACAGCTTTTATTTTCCTTCCTTTTACCCCAATGCCTAACACTTAACAGGAACTCAGTAGCTAATTATTTGGCAAAGTTAAGACTGTTTATACAAAGACGATTCAGAAGATCGTCTTCTACAGTCTAGCAGCAAAGGGGATCGACATGTAAAGACATGATGTGCAGTTGAGGTGGTACAGTGACACTAGAAAAATTGACAAAGTACTAAGGGAGCCCCAAGAAGCAGAAACGTGTGTATGTGGAGAAAGATAGCTAGAATCAAGGAAGACTTCACATAGCATTCTGAGCCTTTTTTTTTTTCTTTTCTTTTTCTGTTGCTGGAGACAAGTTCTTACTCTGTCGCCCAGGGTGGAGTGCAATGACATGATCGAGACTCACTGCAACCTCAAACTCCTGGGCTCAAGGGATCTTCTCACCTAAACTTCTTGAGTAGCTGGCACATATCACCATGCCTGTCGAATTTTTTGTAGAGTCAAGGTTAGCTATGGTTCCCAGGCTGGTCTTAAACTCTTGGCCTCGAGCAGTTCTCTCATTTTGGCCTTCCAAAGTGCTGGGATTACAGATGTGAGCTATTATGGCCAGCCTACATTCTGAGTCTTAAAAGATGAAAATACATTTTTCAGAATTGTAGAACATTTGCGATGTAAAAAACGGGGTGCGCACTAATTACAGTATAAACAACAATAATTTTGCAAATTATTAGTAACTGCCAACTCAATGAGTGTGTTGTTAAAAAGATACTGTTATGAAGTACAGTAAAGTGTTACATTGTATATTTTGAGTGTATTTTAAAATTTTGTTTTGTTTCCAACACTTTATTTATGTTGCGTGAAACAATTTGTGAGTGACCCTGAGATTGTGTATGGCTTGAACCTGGTGATATCTAGTGTCTCCCCAAGTGGTTTGTTAAAGTTTTGGATAATTAGAAGTATTTCTTAAATAAGTAAATATTTCAGTAAATATTAAGCTTCTTTTAAACTCTCAAAATATAAAATACAAAGAAATTTTATTCTCTATTTTTATAAAGATTATAGTCTTTATCTAACTGTTCTTAGTTCATTTGAACTAAACCTATGAATTTTTCAACAGAAGAAGACTTACTAGTGGCTTCAGAGGAAGAGCGAGAAAGGCTTGAAAGAAGTGAAAAGAAGCAACCACAGGTATATAAAAATTTAAGTTTCTTGTCTAATATTGGTTTTTTTTTTTGCTTTAATAACAAAGTGTAATCCAAATGACATGACCTTTTAGACTATACCTTTAGAATCCAATAGATCATAATTTTATATTTAATTTTTAAAACATTTAACCACTTATGAAACTTAAGATATTCCTACCATCTGTGGTAACTCATAGCTGTCTTTACCTTTGGAATTGAGGCAAGAAATTTCCAGTATTATCTTGCTCTTTTATTTTTATAACCTTACTCATAATACAGAAGGTAATATGAAATATCGAGTCATATTACTAAGGAATAGAAATTATGAACAATTTAACAATGATGGCCACTGAGTTAAACTAATGTTAAAGGAGTCATCATTGCTAGTGGTTCAAATTTTGCAGTTTCACATTGCTGGTCACCAGTGCCGAGTTTAAAGATTTATTCTGTTTTGTGGTTGCCAGTTAACTTCAGTGTTTGTGTTCAGGGAGTGAATGGGGTCATAAAAGTCAACCCAGTTGCGTATTAAGAGAATCCTACCTTGCAGAATGGGACTTTTGGTGTCAGGGTACAAACGATAACTTTATTTCAACATAAATACATAGTAAATATTCCTACAATTTAAAAAATCCATCCACTATCACTAGTGGAACTTAAAATATATTAGAAGTGGATATAAGCAGAAAATCTATCTAGATACATAACACTATCATAGTATATCATTTGAATTGGAATTTAAAATTTTGCTTCTCTTTCTTAGTGGTGTTCAGTTTGGCTCTTAATAATTTTGTGTTTGCCTACTCTCTAATCTTCTAATCTTCAGAAATATAAATGCACTGTCGGGGCTCACCAGTATGCTGAGGTAACATCTTTTTAAGAGAGGAAGCTTTTATAATACCACATAGTTTCTTTGAATTCATTTCTGGTAGATTTAACACATAATAAGTTTAGTCCAAACAAACACTGACAGTTCAGCTTGCCGATTCATGTTTTTCTCCTATGTTAAGCCAAGGCAAATTATATTTCACTTTTTAGTTACAATCCCATAATTTAAGAGTAGCAACACATAGATTAAGTTTCACAGTTAAATTTATTCTCGGATATTTCTTTGTTTATACTTGATTAAAGCTAATTTTAAAACATGCACTCTGACAGAAAAGACATCTGAGAAACAAAACAAGCAAATTAGTTTTCCACTTGTGCACCTGTGGAAAAAGAATTTCTCAGGAACCAGAACTGGGTAGGAATTGTGATAAAGGGAATATATCTGTATATTCAGGACTTCCTTTAAAATTCATTACAAACAAGTTTAAGCTGAATATTGGTGAAAGTTTTGAAAACTCCCAAATTACTGCTTGCCCTGAGGAAGAGCTCCTACATAGTAACTATAAAGAGGGATGAACTTAAAGGGAGTGCCCTCTAATCTGATGAATCATGTCCCTGATTTTGAGGAGGAGCTGCATCTGGAGGGTCTAACTCTGTGGCATTCCAGGCAGCGCCTGAACAGAGGAGGCCCATGACAAATGTCTTTCATTCCATTCCCACTCCAGGTCCCTGAAATACAGTTACCAGTTATCTTCTAAGCTTCATTTAAATGAAAATAGATCAGACTAAGAAATGATAACAAACCAGACACACAGCTTGTTTCTAACACAGATGAAGAAAATTTTTGTAATGATAAAAATTAAGGAACCCAGTAATTATGATTGAAAGAAGAGTTTAACATGCAAATGGCAAAAAATAGAAAGCCAAATACCACTAATTGGAAATTAGACATTAGACATTGGCCTCAGTCTAGAGATCTTGAAAGTCTTTTTGATTTGTGGTTTACCCACCCCAAAGAAATGAAGCATATGATTCAGATAGAAAGCCACAGTAAATCTGCTGTTACAGATACATATGAAAACAGAAAGCCAATACAGTGTTTGTTCCAGAAGCCACTATATGACAATCCCAGTGCTAGTAACTACAAAAGCATGAATCTTAAATTATAAAATGTGAGTTATTCTCTACCACATAGTGAGAGAACATAAAAAGTATAGCTAGAAAACTTACAGCAAGATATTCCAAGGTTTAAGAATGAGGTAGGCATGTTACAAGTTGAGTTCCTGGCTTTGGAGAAAGAGACAATTCAACTTCAGAAATACAGAAGTTCACTTGCTGCTTCCCTTTTTTCTCTTTATCAATCATTTGATTCAGTCTAATTTTCTATTCAAGAAAATCTCGTGTACAGTTACAGGGGGTTATCTAAATGTGTAATTATGTGTCAAAGTAGATTAGTTCTGCTATCTAAATAATGGTTCTGGAGAATGTTCTCGTAATGTTTGTTCGTTAATCAACCTAAGTCTCACTATCAGTCTTCCAAGTGGCATATGGGCTGGGAAACTAATTCAGCCATGAACCATGTGACCTTCTGAACCAGATAAATAAAGAACTTGCTGAAGAAACAAGGTCTAGATTCTAGATTATTTTTTTCTGTATTCATTTAGAGATGAATTACATTATTTAATGATAGAATGAAAATACAATGGGAGGGAAGCAATAACTGAGAAGAGCCACAAAAACACATCTAGCCTTGAGAGTTGCAACGAATATTCCCAGCCAAAGGAGTCTGTTTAATGTGTTTTCATGCATGCAAGTTCATCTGCTTAGCTCAAACTGTTTGAACTTAGAGTCCCATCATGGTTATTTCAAATATTTTTGAAAACAAATATATATTTCCACATACTTTAAAACATTACCACTCTCTAATATTTCTGTTGAATCAGACCTTTATATTATGTTGTTTAATAAAATATGGTAAGTTTTGACATGTATGATTTTTATCATATAAGAAGCATAACTTCTCAACCCAAAATTTAGCATTTGCCTCTTTAGTAGAAAGTTGAGTTCTGTAGATTGTGTTCTAAAGATGGACAACAATCTGGAGTTTTACTTCTTTCAAAGTAAAGCAGATGAGGCCTTTTTCCACCCTCTGAGGCATTAAATTGCTTTGCTTCAGTTAGACTTTTAATATATCTAATTTGATAAATTTATCTGGTAATTTAAGTAATTCAGGAATATGAAATTGTATCATATTATTTGGTGCCATGAAATGCTAGGGAATGCCACCTTAGGAGCTTTGGATGAAACACTGAATATGTCTTGATTGGTTTGACTCCCATTAGCAGTAGATAATGGGGCTAAAGTAGGTAACTGTACCATATGTTTTCCACCTATAAACTTTTGTGGTAATTGAATGTGAAATCTGGGAAGCAT